AATTATTGCTATTTTGTTCAGATTGTTTCCATTTTTTTTTTGTAATTTTCTGTAATTGTTTGTGGTTAATGTGGTTTGACATACAAAATAAATATTAGGCAATATCATATACGTTGCTCCGGTTTCAAAATAAGTCACTAAATCACTTTTGTTATGGAAGTCCGTAGCCACGCCGGTACCGCAAACTCCCAGACCCTAAACAATATAGAAAAGTTAGTTTTCATGTTGACTCGGCCGGGGATCGAACCCGGGTCCTCAGAAATGGCAATACCATGAACCGATAAACCGGTGTGCAAGCCACACGACCACGGAGAGCGTCAAACAAAACCGATTTATTTTTTAAAGAAAAAAAATCGCCCATTTGACCTGCATCTTTCATTTATGAAGGATTCCCCACTCAGAGATGTACAAGCTCCCGGGTTTTAGTTAGGCGCTTTATTAACCGGTTTTAATCGGGTTAAAAATCGTTAAGACCCAAAATCCATGGCAAAATATATTTACAACTAAATATTTGTAAATCGAATTTTGTTCAAACAGACGATATTATTACAAAATGTTTATTGCTTGCTTACATATATTTCGCCTTTCTATTGAATCGATTCGTATGAAAATGACATTAAATCTAAATAAAAACTCGTTACCGTATGCACTTTAATCGATTTTCATTAAAATCGTGTCGTAATGTGTATCTCTAGTAGTGAGAGTCCACAGGATTGGAAGGCAGGTATTGTGTTGCCTCTTTTCCGTCTAAAAATTGTTTACATCGAAATTTGTGATAAGTATAGGAATTATACCAAATTCCGTATTCGCCGTTTTGGCCCACGATTTTGCCACGATCTTGAAATGGGTTAAAACCCGATCAAAATCCGAGCGGGTTCATTGGATATTAACCCATTGTCCATTTCTACCCCCGTCCCTTCCGTCAGCAATTCGCATGGGATCATAAGAGAGGAGACCCGAGTCCAGCAGCGGCACTAACATATACGTGTCAATCGGGATCATGATTATTCATTGTTTGCAATCACTATAATTAGAACTAGCTATTACTTACAAAAACGTTTGCTTGTTCTAATAACGAATAAAACAAGAAGAAAATAAAACAAAAAAGAAACAAAAATGTTTTATCAAAACCTAAGTGAAAAGCGAAAGTAAAATCAGCATTTTGTAAATCTTAACCGTTAAAAGTATGTGGAAATAAAAACTCGACTGTGTGTGTTATTTCTCGGTAGTCATGAATAATTGATAAGATAAAACTTTGGAATCGACGCCGACGCGCATTATGTAGAACAAAACGTAAGATACCTGAATTTTAAGACTAAAGGAGGGTGCATATGATTTCGCCACGCACTGGATATTTAAATAAGTATTTAATGTCACGTGATGTACCCGTTGTATCATGTCAGCACTGTGGACGCTAGATAAGGAGGTTCCGGGTCCGATTTCCGGTAAGTCCAATTTGGGAAATTACATTTTAATATTATATTAAAAGTAATTATATTAATATGTAATAAATATTATACTATTCAACTTTAATTAACAATATTATGCATACTAACTCCATATCTTACGAAAAAGTTTTTATTACACTTATTATTTTATATTGTATTATATTATATTATATTATATTATATTATATTATATTATATTATATTATATTATATTATATTATATTACAATTAGTATATTATATCCGTGTTCAACAGTTGGATGTACAAAATTTTAAGTTTATTGACACCCTATATTACCGAACTCACGCACACCACGAAATGTCAACACGAAGGAGTACGAACGCGCACACTACACATAGAAATATTTTTGTACGACGAATGAGCGGTATACAGAAAAACTTAGTTAAGTTTATGTTATACTGGAATGTTTTGTTTTTTAATACTTTTAAATGTAATAAATACAATAAAAGAAATATTAGCACGAAATTGGATAATCGGTACGGTTGTTTGATGCATAATTATTAATATACTAATTTAGATTCAAATTACCAGGAACACATTTTCCAAGCCGTAAAATAGATATTTAGCCGTGTCTAGTATAGTGTGACACTCATAATATATACATGTAAGTTGTTACAATACAGTACAAATATTTAATAAACGTAATAAAACAATATAAAATATATTGCCCACTAAATTAAGACTTCGCCGAGTAACAAACAATACTGAAAATCTACGGACAGTGTCACGTCTTCTTTGGCGATTCAACAACACCTCCTGCCATCCGTGGTCGAGTAGCTTGCACACCGGTTTTCATGGTGTCGTCATCTCTGAAGTCCCAGGTTCGCTCCCCGGCCGGGTTAATGTAAAAAACTTTTCTATATTGTCTCGGGTCTGGGTGTTTGTGGTACCGTCAGATAACGTCTCGTTGTTTCCGATTTCCATAACATAATTGCTTTAGTTATTTATTTTGGGGTCGGAGCAACGTTTGTGATATTGTCTAATATTTATTTCATATGTCAAATCGCATTAACCACAAACAATGGAAAAAATCTGAACAAAATAGCAATCATTGGAATAATGTGAAACAAAGCAAATATGCATGTCAAAAGTGTCCATGATTCAGGATCTGATGACTATATAAATACATTGCCCTCGCTGTTATCCTGATATGGCCTGATGTAAGAAACAAGCAACGTATGTAATGTTGTGCAATATTTATTTATTTATTTAAGACTATAAGCAAGCCCTAGCGAAAAGCCCAGTGCGCTGTTATTTGTAACAAAAAGGAACAAATGAATTCGTGAAACAATACTGAAATTCGTGAAGGTGACATGAAAATATAAATACAACTAATTAGCTGTTATTAACGTCACTTTTTGCGTTAATGTAATTTCTTATAGTGTTAATTAACATCAAAAGTAGACAGTTCACCACATTATTCTTTGTTTTTCATTTACCATCACCATGTAATATAATAAGTAAGTAAATATAATATTAAACAATCACTTGTTATAAATGCTTGTTAAGATCGCAGTATGATAAAACTTTTATCGGTAAATTGTATAAAGAGATATAAGTAAGAGTAAATTGTATAAATACTTTATTGCTCTACATTACAATACTAGTAGAGATCCTTGTGAAAGAGAACTCCTTCATTCAGAACGTACTGCCACCTTACCTATTTCTGCCGCCAAGCAGTAATTAATCTCAGCATTACTGAGTTCCGGTCTTGAAGGGTAAGGGGTGCTGGTGATATTACAAACACACGGGACTTGTCAACTTATGTCTCAAGTGATGGGCGCAGTGGCAGTGCTCCTCAGATCTTTTCGAATTAAAGCTGTGAGTGGCACTGCAACTGTTATGGACAGTCGTGTCGCTTTCCACCAGGCCCGTGATTTGTTTGTCCCGTCATTTGGCATCATAAAAAAATATCAAGGGGGCGAAATACAATAGTTGTGTGAATTTTCGCAAAATTAATTATTTAACTCAATATAATGTACTTTACTATTGTAAAATCCAATAAGCAGATGCAGAATGCAACATTACACAAAGCCCCTAGTCGCGCCTAGGCGACTTTTCGGTTCTGAGAGCCCTTTTGAGCATTTAACAGAAAAGTGTAAAAGAATTGCAACTTTTTGGTTGAAATTTGTATGTATGTAATGTAATAAAAGATCAAAACAGCTTAAAAAGCTTCTTAAAACGTCCTTAACTAATGATGCAATAAGAAAGTCACACCAAATTGTATTTTACGGCTCACAGGTTAAAGATTGTTTAACACCTTTCTCCACACTGATACTCAAAACCAAAGAGGGGAATCTTAGGGCATCGAGTGTAATCGATTGTACAGTCGGTGCCATCACTTAAGTATTTACTGTTTGTATTAAGTGCTGTACAAATAATGGATACGTAAGTGAGGGCACCGACTGTACCATTGAAAAGGGCATCAGAAACACACAATAATGACTTAGATAACTCATTCACACAGTTATTGACGACCTCGGTAGCCCAACGGTTTACACTGTGGGTACAGGATGAGGACGTACCGGGTTTGATTTTCGGTAGGACTAATTTGGAAAATTTTCCAAATTGGTTCTAGTTTGGGTGTATATTATATTGTCTTGAATAATGAATACCTATTGACCGTTTTCAAAGAAAGAGTAAACACGATACTCAGAAATTTATAACATCTGTTCCATTAAAAAAAATTATTCGCTTTGTATGCAGCCACACAAAGTGTACTCAGTAACTTGAGATATTGGATTGGATTGGAGCAATAAAGAACAAGTAATCTGTTTCGCAAAGAGCGAAGCTAATTGCATAATTTGACAGAGTTGTAAACGTATGAGAAGTAAATTGCAGGCATTCAAGGACACTATAAGCTTACCAAATAACTTTCTTACAAAAAAATAACCCACTTGAAAAGTTCGTGAAATTACATCTATTTGCCAAGTTTTATTGAAATTGGTTACCGGAAAGTGCGCGTAACCGGATTCATCCCCTAGTTTGCCCCCTTAGGGGTGCAATATTTTTTTCAAATTTAAATGGGACCAATACTGAGGTACTCTCATTCCAAGAAAAAAGAATTATCAAAATTGGTTCACAAATTCTGGCCGGAGTTATCGCGTAAGATACATACAAAAAATACAGTCGAATTGCGAATCTCCTTTTTTTTGAAGTCGGTTAACAAGCACAGTTGAGCACAAATTGTGTCGAGTGTTTGATATAACCGCACATAGATAGTTCTAGTAAAATGATTGCATATTTAAGTTCATAAAGCTGGTCCAATACTGGTTTACTGTTATACCTTCGAACAGATTTCTAGCCCATCTATCACACACGAGCCTGCTTTATTTCACATAATCAGGGCATGTATTATTAATGCTAGTAATTTTTGAATCACCGACTGATTTATGTTATTATTTAGCTATTATATACCTGCAACCGTTCTTAAATAATATAACAAGGTCGAAGATTCAAGACCATGGTTTACGTAAGCAAGGACAGCATCATGCAACTCGTTATGTTATTCATGAAACACATGGTACTCACGAAGTCGTCGTAGGCGTCTTTAACGGCGGTGAGTGCCAACACTCCGATAAGTGGGATAGCGGTGGTGATAGGAGTCAGCGACGAGATGGCCGGGATCAGCTGCAGCACCAGCAGGCATAGGAAGTAAAAGTTGGCCAGCCGCTGGAACTGCTCCAGCAAGTTCAGCGGCAGGAACGTTATTATAGAGTACTTTGATGTTTTGATGTAATTATTCTGAAACAATCAATGTATTTGTCAAAACAATAAATATTCCCATCGGCAATGTTTGGCAAACAGTTTGTTTACATTTTCTTTAGCACAAATTACTATATAAAGATAATACAACTAGATATTTCCGGAAAGGGACAATACTTCTTAGTTATTTTAGAAATATTTATAATTCCGCGCCATTGAGAAATTCACAAACACAAATCCATCATCATTACAATTCGTCGATATCGACAAGTCGTAAAATTTCCTGTTTGCATAATAGAACAGCATATAGCAATGCGTGATACGGTTTTGCATTTACGATAATCATTTCCTTCACAACACTTGCTAACATTTCCATTCCAATGATGAGGCAAAGTGATCGGATTATGTTTGAAAGACATAGTCCAGTTAATGGCCTTGCAATGATTAATGACGGTTACATAGATGTAATAAATGTAAGAGACGTGTTTGCCAAAATATTTCATTTACGCTTGGGCTGAAGCCAGATTACAGGATATATAAAAACAATACACATGCAAAAAAACGTTAAACAGTGATCTGACGAAATGCATGCGTTATGAATACAATTCGTCAGCGAATTTATTCATCTCAACAATACTGGCCGGGAGTTCGGATAAAATCTTATTACATTTGTAATATAGACATGAGGGATAAGTCGCAACACTTAAATGTATTAAATTTTAACATCAAGCAAACTAAGGTCTCTTGTCTATTAATAAATTGCTCCAAAGTCCGATGCAAGCGCGCATCAGCTGGAATATCATTTAGAGACTATACCGTTGCAAGTGTCCAATATCCTGTATTTTATTGATAAGAAATTAAACATGATCTTGACACGAAGCTTTAATGCAGAAGGACGTTTATGAATCAAAGGACATTTCGACAACTATCAAATGAAGCGTAATCAATGAGTAACAGTTAATGTGTACTCGTGTGATATTTATTAATAAATATAGATCTTGACTGAATGATATTAAGCCATTCTGTACTGAGGATGGATTTACTAATACGGACTTGAAAGACTTACTAGTCAAAGAATGGACACTTAGAGCCGTTCTTTTGGGATGAGACGAAAACACATATTGAAAACTAAAAGGGTAACAATTACCTCACTACTACAAATTTAAAATTGTATCATTGCCTTCTAAGTATGTTAATAAAATACACAAACTTCAAACACATATCAAGTCAACGTAAAGTTAGTACAAAGGTATTAATCCTAGTTTAATTAATAAGAAACAAAAAGATGGAACTTACGGCATAGCGGAACTGAGCGTTGTACTCCCTGTTGTTCGCTTTGATTCTCCGATCGTTCTCTGCAACAATGAAGTTGGAGTTACAACTGTGTTAAAGTTAGAAACATGCGTCAATTGTGCTTGACACAATATAATACTATTCACACGAAGGCATTTGTAAGGTCAAGATCAGAATTAATAACTAACATCTCACAGCGATACATAAAGTATATAAATTGTCATCAAGTCTGTGTTCCATAAACTAGGCAATAACAATGATTACGAATCTCCAATTCCTGAGATTACAAGATTTTCGCCATAGTTGCTCCAGACCATTAATATTTAAATGAAAGGACAATGCCAGTAGATTAAAACAAGAGTGGCAGAATACCAGAGTCTTGCATTTTTTTGCCGATCCAGCGTAGTTTTACTGTTTAGTTTCTATATGAAGTTATTTATTAGATCCTTTCATGTGCGTATCTATGGTCCTTCTATTATTTGTTAAATTAAATCGTTTAATTATAAACTTATAGTATTCGTAAATAGGTCGCCATGAAAGTGAATAAAGTTTACAATCTATCTTAACCAATTTATACACTTGCTGGTACATTGGTGTCGTTAAGCTAGACACTTTTATTTCAATTTAAACTCAACTGTATGACACTTAAAAACGTCAATAGTATACTTGATATGCTATTGACTGTACATTAAAAAAAATACCTCGGAACACGTTTGCGCGCAAAACAAAAGTACGGAGCGTTCGGATTTACTAGGTTAGCTCACTTGCTGAAGTCTAAGTTTAAGTAAATATGGAAACGAGATTATATTGTATAAACTTAAACGAGTACAAATGTCAATGCCGAACTAGGCGCGACACTATTTAAATATGATCTATATTTCTATAAATTGTTCTGACTCATTTCATTACATTCAAATGGCGCGAAACGATATAACTCACATCCGTAGGAGTCTAATTGTAGTATATATATATCTTGATTCTTTATTCAAATCTTCATTCATCTGCTACAAAAAGTTTTTTTATTTTTTTTTTATAATATCAAGTGACGGGACGAACGAGTCGTGTGCCTGATGGTAAGCTACATGCCTGTCCATAACATAAGCTACATGCATGTTCCATGTGCCTGTAATTTCACCAACACCTTACCCTTCAAAACCGGAACGCAGTAATGCTAACATTAATGCTTGGCGGCAGAAATAGGTAAGGTGGCAGTGCAATCCTGGATGAACTCTTTCACAAGGAGCTTTACTGTAGCTGCTACTGCGTTCTAGTTCACGCGTAGTTACAACAACGTATTTAATAATAGCTTTAACGTCAGAGACGTTCTCTATTGTATTATTTACTTTAACAATTAAGTAATTAGTTTCTTTTACTAAGATTTATGACGGTGTGTGAACGCATCATTTGAATTAAATAATATGATTGTTGGTGTACATAATACAAGTGATTGCTGACCTCTCGGAGTATTCATTGCAGGTTAGAATGTTTCCCTACGTAAATAATAAATACAGCAAGTTACGAAAATTCCACGTCAATTTTACGTGCGTTATAAATAATAATAATAAAATAGATACAATAATAATAACTCACACACTCAACATAGCCCCGCACTAGGGATACCCTCTGTCGCGGGTGCTATGGACACACATGGTGAAATTACAGGCACATGGGACAGGTAAACTTATGTTTCAGAGTTACGGGTGCAGTGGCAGTGCCCTTCAGATGTTTGCGATTTAAAGCTCTGAGGACACTGCAATTGTTATGGACAGGCGTGTAGCTTATCATTAGGCGCACGACTTGCTCGTCCCGTCACAAGATATTATAAAAATAAAAACACATAGACAACCACAAATTACACACGAGAAAAATAAATGTAGGCCATACAAATATTTCTCCCGGCCCGGGAATCGAACCTGGGGAGGTCTGCGTGGTAGTCCGGCATGGTAACCGGTCGGCTACGGAGGCAGTGTCTCGTGTGCCTGCTTCTGAAATAATAATAGTGCTACATCTCGCCAATTACCTAGTCTATAACTAGGTGATTGCTTGTCTACCAGATCAACGGAATTCACTTCGGGACACAACTAGACTAACTAGGACTAATTTAGAAAGGTTCGTTTCCTAAATCAAGTCATTAAATAAAAAATAACTTCTGCATAGCCTAGTTTAACACAGCGAATATTTATAATAAAAAGTGCACGTTTATTTGAAAGAATTTAACTACTACGTAATATATAATATTTATTAACAATACCTCGTATATATTTATATATACTTTTTGAGTAATTTTATTAATATTCTTTCCGTGCGTAAGTTTTGTGAGTGAGATTTATATGTTTTAGGTAGAATAGACCAGACAACCCTGGTTCATTTCAATTATCTAATAGATTAAGGATTAGAAATAGACAATAGCTCACTGTGCTAGTGGGAACTTCGTATTTGGAAGAGGCCTGTGTACATAATTTACATATTTTTTTTAAGTACATTCTGTGCGCTTACATTCCATTTGATACATTCCAGTGACGCGATATCCAGTACAACATGATGACCAGGAGAATGTTGTCTGAAGAAAAGAGCAAGAAGATGGAAGCTGAGCTCAATGAACTGAGGGCACTGACAGATAGGCTTCTTGAAGAACGCGATGTATATGAAATGGAAATGCAGGCGCTCAAGACTTCACGAATGACATTAAAAGGGAAATTTGATGAAATTCGACGATTTTGTGAAGAATTAGAAAAAGAGTGCAAACGAAAGGAATTAATTATAGAGAGCTTCCGAGAAAATCACCAGGAACACGAAGACGCCTTAGACCGTATCAGATTTCTTGAAAGACAGGTAAAGGAATCAAATGCTGAAGTTGCATCATTACACGAACAAAGCGGAAGTTACGACCACCTAACGACCTTGTCACTCCGTGATGAACTAGCTCTGGGAGACAGGAATGTATGCAACAGTAAATTATGCAGCACTAAATCGCAAGACCCAAGATTTTCCAAATTAACCAACCTGATAAGAAAGAAATCGAAAACTCTTAAGAAAGTAAAATCAGAAAAATTAAATTTACACAAGGACAAGGTGAAGATGGCCGAACAAGTGAAAGATCTAGAGTTAGATCTTCAGTCGCGAACTAAAGACCTACTTTCTACGCAGAAACAACTAGAAGAACTTTCAGCTGCAACTAATGAGCTTTTAAAGCTGGGTACTGAGTATAGAGAACTTACTCAAGTCCTTCTTCACGATGAGCTTAGTGAAACAAATGGTCCAGTAGAAATAAATCAGACTCCGTCCCCACCACCCACATTATCAACGCAACCAACACGTGCATCGTATGCCAGCGTTGCTGCAGGAAAACGTGTCTGCTCCACTACAACTGTTGAAGTTCGACACAGTCAACGGTCAACCAAGACTATTAGAACTCCGACCAGGCCATCCAGAAGAACGGTAGTTTTTTCTGATAAAATAGGCGTAGGACTAGGCCACCACCTTAGTAACCACTTAAAACAAAGGGTAGTCAACTATTGCTATCCAGGAGCTACTTTTAGTCAAATTATTACACTGTTAAGTGATTGCAACTTTGATAAATATACAACAGTGATTCTTATAATAGGTGATAGTACTAACATTAGTAAAAAAGAAGTAAATAGTAGCATTGACGTGTTCTTGAGAATTCATGAGAAGTGTGGGTGTAAATTCATACTAAGTGCATTCCCTTACTGCTGTAACCTAGGCATCGCTCGTAATAAGTATATATATAACATAAATTCGCACATACATAATTTGACTTGCCGTCATAGTGACGTTATATTTTGTTTTGACATTAATAAGTTCGTAAGGAACTTCAAACTTTTTGAGGATAATTTACTTTTACCCCTAAGGTATCTAAGACATATAGCTAGTTTGCTATCTTTTAATATTAAGGACGCTGTTATAGAAGATATAACACAGTCCCACGACAATGCTCCTACTTTAAGTAGCAACAGTATACATTTTACTAACCATAATTTAAACTAAAAAACACGACAACAGAAAAGTCTAATCGTTTCCATGTAGTACATCAAAATATTCAAGGCTTTTCTGGCAAAATATTAGAAATAAGTCTTTTTTTGCACGATATTTCCGTTGACGTGTTTTGTGTTACAGAACACTGGCTGAAAGATTACGAAGCCATTAACAATATAGAAAATTATGTAATAGTCAGTTCGTTCATAAGAAAGAGCTTAAGTAGAGGCGGATCCATGATTATTATTAAGCGTAACTTAAAATTTAAAGAGCGTAAGGATATCACAAATCTTTCTACTGAACGAACTATTGAGATTTCATGTGTGGAATTGGATCAGTTTGTCGTCTTATGTGTATACAGGCCCCCCTCTGCTAATTTTAACGAGTTTGAATTAATTATGGAAGACAGTTTAAAGCGGATTTTTCCAACCAAAAAAAACGTAGTAATATGTGGAGATTTCAATGTAAACCTGTTGGAAAACTGTTCTACTTCTGCAAGACTCATTAATTTATTTCAAAGTTTTAACTTGATTAATCTTTTTTTAGAACCAACTCGCATTACTGCCTCCTCTTCTACTTGTATTGATAACATCTTTTGTAACACAGACGCAGTGTCTAAATCAATAATAAATTGCTTAAGATCCGACCATAGTGGCCAATTGGCTTCTTTTAATTGTAAAATGAGCAAGAAGGTAGACCAATTTCTCTGCAGACCGATTACCACAGAACGAATAATTAGATTTCAAAATAATATCGGCAACAGTTTAAATTCCCTATCCCATATACCGGAGGATCCAAACACTTTATATAACACGATATTTGGTTTAATTAAAAATGAATTTGACAATATATTTAAATCGAAAACATTAACTTTCCATAGAGAGACTAAATTCAACGACTGGGCAACAGTAGGTATTCATAAGAGTAGGTCTCGTTTGTATGAGCTATATGCTATGAAAACTTATAATACTAATTCCAATTTCATAGAATATGTTAGAATTTATTCGAAAATATTTAAAAAAGTTTGTGTAGCTGCTAAGGTTAAGTTTCACAGCGACAAAATTAG